TAACATGCAGGCCACGTCTGTTCTACCAGATCTAAAACTACTGACTGATTAATTTTTTAAGAAAAACCCAATCGCAGGGGCTGCCACAGCCGGGCCTGCTGTTCTCTACAGAGCTGCGCTGGGTGTGGACATCCTGCCCGCGGCAGCCTGGCACCCAGCAGCGGCGTGCGTGCGTGGGATGGAGGAAGTGTAGCTGCCCCTGGGAAGGGAGCAGGTGCAACGTCTGGAGGCAGGCACGTGCGCACTGGAGGTGTCACGTGCCGCTCTCCGCCCCCATCCACCCACGAGCATCCCAGCATCTCAGCGCTGCCCCCCTCTGCCCCTGACCCCGTCATGGTCATTGTAATTCAGAGCCACGCTGCACGGCTGAGCCAGACGACGCCGCTGCCGCCGGAGCAACCTGGTGAACACGGCCAAGTCCTTGAAGGAGACGCGAAAGGAGATAACAACCTTAAGAGGGCACGACGGGGACAGGCTGAGGGGAGAAGCTGAGGCAGACAGGGAAGCAGCCAGCACTGGGCACACCTCCTCCCGACCCTGTGTGGGAAGGGGCTGGGGTCTTCGCGCCCACTCGGGCTCCGCAGCGCTATCCCCGCCCTTTTGTCCGCCTCACCAGGAGCCCCACTTAGTGGGCTCCCGGGTGCCTGAGAAGGAGGCTGGTAGACGTTGAGAACCAAGCAATCCCCTACCCCTTTCGGAACCTGGGGTGTCTGTGTGTGAAGGTGTCCGACCGTGTCCTTGACCTGGCACTGGCGTCCCCTGCAGGACGCAGCCTTCTCTGTCCTCCTGCGCCGTTTAGAGTGGCCCACTCCTGCCGCTGCCGCTGTTCCCTTAGAACCAGAAGGGCTCCATTAGGGGGGGTCCTTGCGAAATCTAGGTGCTCCCTGCACCCTGGAACTTTTGGGGCACTGGATTATTTGACCTGACTCTCCTTTGGTGGTCTATCCTACGTTCAAGGTCATCATCAGTCTGCAGACTCCTGAGCAGTGCTGGGCTGGGGTTTTCCATACCCTAGCTCACATACTCTCCAGGCAGCCCTGGAGGAAGCCCCTGTAGCATACAGCTCCTTTGTGCCTAGCTGTTGAATAGTCACCCCGTACAGAGACCTTGGCTTCTAGCCACTACCGCACAGGGCACCCAGCGGCCAGGCAAGCGCCACAAAGCACAAAGTACTCACACAGTGTGTAATGCATGTCTTTTAGCTTCACATCCCACTTCCTGCCTTGAGTTGGAGCTCAGGGTCCTGGGGGTTGTGTGGCTGACCAGCCTCAAAAGTGAAACACAAGATGGATGCAGGAGTGAATGGGCAGGGCAATCCCCCAGAAAACAGGTGAGAAAATGGAGGGTGAGATGAAGTGGCCTTCCCCAGTTCCCACCATGTCCCCAGTGGCAGAGCTGGCTGAGTCAGTGTATCCCAAGGATACCTGCATCCTTGCTCTGATCCACCAGGGCGACCACCTAGCTAGAGTAGCCCAGCAGTGCCTGGGCCTGACCGTGTGACCAGCCCAGCCAGCCTCTTCCTCCTGCTCCTTGGACACTAACTGCCTGCCCTGGGGACTCCCATTCTGGTGTAGGTTTCTGGGGGTCGGGAGGGATGAATGGGAGCACTCATGCGCCCAGGGATGACATCGTGGGCACAGCCCAGCTGAGCCACCCAGCCAGAGGGGTTGACCACATCTGTGTGTCACTTCCATGAGGCAGAGAGGCACTTGGGAGGCCCTCATGGGGGCTCCCAGCCCCTGGCTGCCTCAAGAGTCAGTGGTGGCTCGGTACCCAGGCACCTGCAGCTTCTCAGGTGGTCCCTGGCCATTCCCTTTGGCACTGCCTGCTGCACGGCTGTCCTCTCTGTCCACAGGGAGTAGGGCTTCCCGATCATCCCCTTTCCTGCCCTGCCCTGCCCAGGTCAGACCCTTCTCCTCCACACCTCAACAGTCTACCTGTCATCAGATCCAGGGCCCGATGCATCCTATTACAAAGCTGAATTGTTGCCAGGGTGGCCTTGCTGTCTCCACAGAAAGGCCTGTCATCCCCTTTGCTAAATATTACAGCTCCACGGAGGACTGACGAAAGTGACTTGTCACTCTCCACCCCTTGGCTTGAGGATCCCAGGCCTTTCTTTGATGCTAATCATGAGAATCACGGGAACCACAAACCACGGCAGCTCTCGGCAACTGAACACCCATCGTGTGCCAGATTGTGCACTGAGCAAGCTGCCGCATTATACTGACCCTGTGGAGAGTCGCTGCCCTTCCCAACCCAGTATGCAGATGAGGGAATGGGGCATCACAGTGGCTGAGCGTCTGCAGCTTGCCCCTGCCTGCACAGCCAGGGCACAGCAGAGCCGGGACCCTGTGTAGGACTGCTAACTCCCAGAGCCCAGGCCACCTTCCGTACACCACAGGCTCTCCAGGAGCCCAGCCCTCACACAAAGTGTGTCTTTAAACGTCGAAGTCACCCTGCCAGCCCCCAAAACAGCCTGAGACAGACTGTGTGAGTCCTCCCTTCCCTCCCAGGGCTGCAGCTGCTTGAGGCCCAAGTCAGGGGCCCCCATGGGACATCTGCATGACAGCCTGCAGCTGGCTTTCATGGGCACTGCCACCGCTCTCCTTGGTGGCAGCACATTCAGAATTGCTTCTGTCCCCAGGAAAATCGTGACATCTCAGTTTCCCTCTCCTCCTGTCATCTCTTTCCTGATTACTTCCATTGATCCTGGCCCAGCTTAAACAGAAACACACACTGCTCCCTGCTGTGGTTGCAGTCTCATTCTGGTCCTGCACATGAGCAGGCTGCTTCCTGAGTGATTATGGCACTGTCCTTTGATTGACCCAAAGTCATCGCCTCCCTTGGAAGGGAATGCGGGTGGCTATCACCCCTGGAGGGGAGCAAAAGCCCTTCGGTGGAGGCCAGTGTGACAGGATCCACTGCACAGTAGAGGAAAGAAGCTGGGAGGGCCAAGGACTGGGCAGGGAGGGACCCAGAGGTGGCTGTGGGAGCTGGCCAAGCACCTGTGCCTAAAGCAGGGAGCTGTCTGGCTGTCTCCTTCCCTATGTCCCATTGTGTACTTGAGTGAACTCTGTCTGCAGGAGCACCTGTGTCCAGGCCCAGCCGGGGATCATGCCAGGGACAATGAGAAAATTCCAGAAGGGAGAGCCCAGGGACTTATAGTTCCTGTTAATACCACTTGGCCAGTCACCTCGTGATCTGAATCTGGACCTCTGGGCTTTGTTACCTGTCACTAGCTGTAGACCCCTAGGTGTCAGAAATTGTTCTGAAACAGGGAAGGCCTCTGGTATCTTCTCAGGGTCACAGACGGAGGTGCACACACATAACTGAGAAGCTGAGCCTCCCCCTCCAAGTGTCCTTCTGGCCCGAGGACTCCCCAAGCCTCCTGATCCCAGCATCCTCGCACCTGTTCCTCACTCCTGGGCAGGGGTCAGGCCAGGCAAAACCTGCATCAGCAGAGAGTTTTCTGGGGATGGTTCTCCCACTGAGCCAGCAGAGATGACAGCAGCACCAACCCCTTGTGTTGACCATGGGGATTAGGGGAGCATCTGAATGCCCTGGGTGCACAGCGGCTGGGTGGACGCCAGCTCCAGGGAAGGAGGCCCCAGGATTATTAGGGATTACTCCAGCACAGGCCAGAGGCGGCCCCAAGGGAAGGCATCAGGGAAGCTGACACCTCTGCGCTCTGAGCCAGGCTCACGTCCAGGAGTTCAGCTACCAACTCTGCTGCTCTGTCTGAGCTCGGCCCAGCTACCCGCAGCCCTCTTGGGATGCCTCCTGGGCACAGAGATCCAGCCAGCAGCAGCCTTCTTTCTGCAAGCCCAAGGCTGTCACTGGCTGCACGGTCCCTGCCCAACACAGGAGCGTGAGCTGAAGGCAACACACAAAGCCATTTTTCTCTAGAAGCTGAGACTCTTGGTGTTGACAGAAGGAGGACACCCAGGCTAAATGGACATGCTTGGGTCCCGGGGCCCCCATGAGGCCTGGGCAGAGATGCTAACTGTGTGAGAAGATGTACTCCCTGCTGCCCTTGGTTTTGTCTTCAAGGGGCTTGTGTGAGTGCACCTGTATATGTGCACGTGTTACATATCTGTGCATGTGCATATAACTGTATGACTACACGGTGCACATACATGTTCATGTATTGCATACACTGTACACTCATGCATATGTACATGGATGACTGCACGGTGCATGTGGGTGTACTTGTGCATGTATGTTCATGTATGTGTACCTGTGCATGCATCTGTGTGTGCATGCATGCGTGTATACTTGTTTATGTGCATGATCTGTCTTGTTCCATTTAACCTCCTTAGTGAAAAGTAGCCCAAGCCCCCCAGGGTGGGCCTGACCTAACCTTAGAGGGCCCACGGGTCACAGGAACACCTGTACAGGAAGAGAGGCGCTGTCTGGAAGGCTCCTGTCACGGGCCTGTAGGAAGATTACCAGGCTCTCCACTCTGGTGGATGGTGGCTGCTGTGCTGCTTCCTGTCCCTGTGGAACTCATGAGCAGATTTTGCACTCTATTAATCTACATCTGTTTGCACATCCCTGCCGTCCGCCGCTTCTGCCCGTGGAGGCAGCAATTACATGGCGAGAGGGGAGGGCTTTGGAGGCGCCTGCGTGGGTGGGCTCTTGGTGTTATAGTTGCTGGCTGGGGCATTTTAGCTCCTCTGAGCCAGGGATTCTGGGAAGCTATGCAATGGGTTTGTGGGAAGATGGTATGGTGCCAGCACACACTGGCTGGGGAGGCCAGAGCAGTTCGATGCTGTGACAGTGAGGGTGGCTGTGGGTCCCCAGCTCTGCCCCTGTCAGGCTATGAGTTCCTCCTCCTCTCTTTGTCCCTTCTCCCTGCAGCCCTCACTGCCCCATTTCCCCCGCAATCATCCCCTTCTCAGAGTAGAATGGACAAGGCTGGCATTTCCAGACAACACCCACTCAAAGGCCTCGGGCCACTTGGGGCCCAGGTCACCCTCCTCCCCCACAACCTGCCCTACCTCACGTTGTCGTGCTTCTGGATGTAGATCTTATGGAACATCATATCCTCCTGCTTGGCATTGATGTCTGCTTTCATCTCCATGGCAACGTGGCGGGGAAGGACGGACAGCAGGAGCCGCTCCTGGGGAGGGGAGCAAGCACTCTCACTATGGCTTCCTCCGCCGTCCCTGGCAGCTCCTCTCCCTGCACACCTGTGCCCCTGTGAAACCCCTCAGCAACCCCTGAAGCCCATGGGTTAACCTCTGCCTTTGGACTTGGAGGGGTGGAGAGGGGCTCCCAGCCCCCATGTCCCAGGGACATTGACAGTTCTGGTGCCGAGCTTGTTTCCTTTGCTATCCGGCAGAAGCTCTGTGTATGCTGGGGCAAAGTCACTGCATCAATGAGGGGCTCAGCTTCCTGGGTTGTGGCACAGGGACACATGGCTGAGGGAGATCCCTGAGATTCAGTTCACGGTCAAGGGTTTACTGAGCTTCTACTGAGCTCCTGGCATTTCTCCTGGTTGTGACCGGTTGGAGGGTTGGTGGCAAGGAGCATCGCTTCTCACAAGGCCAGCACTGAGCAGGGACCCCTGAGCTAACCTGGAGACGTAAGGAAGTAGTCCAGCAAGGCTTTGTAGAGATGTGGGGAGGGGGATTTTTGTTCCATAGCTTGAACAACTAACTGTGGCCCCCAGAGGGAGGGACAGCACACTGTCACTGAGGAACCAAGAAATCAAAACCAGAGAAAGAGCCACTGGGAAAGAACAGGGTGAGTGGAAAGGGGCCAGCCTGAGGTCCCTGTCACCTATTATGGGGTCTGGATTTTGCCCTTCTTCCTCAGTGCCTGTCTGCCTCCCCCCAGGCCTGCCCAGCTGCCTCCCCACTGTACCCTGCCCTCTGCACACCCTCAGCCTCCCCTGAACCCCTGCATTTCACCCTGCCCTGGGTGCTGGGTTTCCCTTTCCCATGGCCCTGAAACTCTTCCCTGCCTTCAATGTCCTAAACCAAGAGTGTTCCTACCTCTGTCCCCGTCCATGCACCCCTGCCATCCTGGAGCTCTGCAGGCCTCCCCACCACACCCCTGCCTCTCAGGCAGGGCTTCTATGTCTTCTTCTGGGTGTCTAGGCAGTGCCTTGCCAGCTTGCCCCAACTCACCCACCTGCCCTCCTTCATAGGTCTGAGACCACCTGCAGGGCCAACATGAATGGTGCAGGCAGCCTCCATGTGGGGGTCTTCTGGGTCCTCTCTCCTTGCTGCAAGCAACAGGTGTCCTTTTTAAAACCCAACAGTAGCTGCCAGGAGCAGCTCACCTGGCCTCAAAGCTTCCGCCATATGGTTCTTCCCTGGGCCTATCACCCTCTCTTCAGCACCCCTAAATTCAACCTGTGCCCCATTCCAGAGTAAGTGAACCCTCAGGCACCCTCCCCCCAAACTTCTAGGAGCCTTCCTTGCCTTTGCACATGATTCCCATTCCTTCCTGGGGTGGGGTGAGGGCTGACTCTAGCTGCCATCTAACCTTAATTCCCCCAGGCCTTTTCTCATAGAGTCCCTGATTACCCTGTTCGCCATTTAGTAGTCACATCTCTCTCTCTCTCTCTCTCTCTCTCTCTCTCTCTCTCTCTTTCTCTCTCGCCTGAGCATGGAGAGGTCTCCTTGTGGATGGGTACTGGGTCTTATCCAGAGCACAGCCCAGGCCTTTTGCCAGAAGCACTTGTCAATGAGTGAAGGAGGTTGCTTCCTAAGAGTGTGCCCAGCTCCCCCTAAGCATCAGTACACACAGGCACTGAAGGCCAGCTCCTGTTTACTGACCTCTCAGCAAACAGTGCCTGGTAGGAGACGAAAACATGAATGAAACCACAGTTCTGTGAAAATAGGGGACAATTGCGAGAAAGTGTGCCGCCGATGGTTCAGCTGCCAGAGAAGCCTTCCTGCCTGCTTAACTAGTTCTGGGCCTGAGGACTGAGGGCTGGGCGGGGAAGTGTCCAGGGTGGCAGTGCTGTGTCTATGCATCAGGTGATTCCCAGGAAGTGTCCCCCAGCGACCCAGCAGCTCTTTCCAGCTAGCTAGACAGTGCCTGTCCCTGGGAAGCAAGCTGTCTCCTCCCCCATCCCTGGGCTTTGGCTGTCTACACAGCATGGTGAAAAAAAAGACACTGTGTGTTCCCAGATCCCCATGTGTTTGGGAGGTGATGTCCAGTCAGACCAAGGCCTGAGCAGGCAAAAGCTGGGAAATGGTGATTACCCTCTGGATAAGGCAATGAGGCTGAGAAGTGATGGGGGCCCACCCCCTGGGACAGAGGGGCAGGAAGGCCAACCAGAGCTGAGGGGACAGACACACCAGGGCCTGGATTGGGGGCAGGGCTCTTGGAGCATGTCAACAGCAAACAGCAGCCACAGCAGCGGTGCTGGGAGGAAAGCAAGGGACTAAGGAGATGCTGAAGGGGGCTTCACTTCAGCTCAGCTGTCCGGTGCCACCTGTGACGTCACTGTAACCACCCAGAACACTGCAGTGGGGCTGCAGTTGCACCCAGGGTGTCCATAGCACATGCTCCAGGCTGCCCAGGAGGGCATGGGTGACCCCTGCTTTCCTGGTCTTTCTCTCCCCAGTCCCATGCTCACAGGCAGACCTTCCCTGCCCACCTTCTGCCAACAGGCCTGATGGTAAGTGACATGCAGTTGGACTTTGTTTACGTGTGCTAAGAGAGGTGAACCTTTATCTCAGAAGAATTCAACCTTCTGTAGGTCCCTCAGCAGCACCACTGTCCTGCTCACCCCTGCTCTCTTGGGTCACCACAGCCCCTCAGGGTCTCCTGTCTGGCTCCTACTGTCTAGGGTGCCCAGATCTCCATTAGGAGAAGGAGACAGTGATGACCCAGACATGAACCCCACACAGGAACTTGTTCCCTAGGAAGGGAACAGCTGGAATCCCAATACCAGCCTGAGTTGCTCTCCCATTAATCTCTATCCAAGAGAGGTACATGCAAGGCCAGTATCTGCCTGAGCGCTTGCTGGGGAAAGCCTCTCCTGGGGTCTGTGGCCCTTCTGATTGGTCTGCCTGTCCTGGTCAGTAGCTGAGGAGAGACATGCAACTGTTTCCTTCTGAGAACTAACAAGACCCCAGAACTCAGGAGATGAGGCTGGGCTAAGAGGATGGGGCTCCTCCTTCCTCACTGCTTCCACCTGAATACAAGAAAGAGCTCCTGACTACCTGGCTTGTTTGCAAACCACAGAGACATGGCAGGGGGCCACAGGCAGGAGTCTCCCCCAGGAGGAGTCCTACAGAGCCTGGCCACTGGGCTCCTTAAGGGGGCTGGGCAACCCCCTGCTCCCTGAAGCTGTGCCTGTTGCTGGGAGGGGCAGAAGGCTGCACTCACCTGCTGCTGGTTCTCCCTCTGTGAGTGGAGCCGTGCCTGGATGCACTCACGGGTCTCCTGGAAGGCCTGCCTCTGGGAGACCTCGGCGGGATAGTGGGTGCAGACGCCCACGATGTTGGTGCAGGAAAAGATGAGCACGTTGGAGACCAGCTGTAGAAGGAGAGATAAGCACACAGGCTCAGGCCTGACACAGGCATGGGTTACCAGGGCCCCAAGTTCCATCCTTTGGGTCACAAGCACGGCTCTCCCAGGGTAAGTCTCAGCAAGCAGAAGCCTAGGGCACACCTATGCAGCCCAGCTTCACCAGTCAGCAGCTGATGTCCTCAGGGCCCGAACTTCAGCAGGCTCTTGATGGCACATGGCCTCTGTGTCACATTGACTGACTGATCATCCTCCAGCTCCCTGGCTGGAGGGGCCCATGTCTGGCTGACACAATAAGAACAGCATGGGTGTGATCATCCAGCACATGACTAAAGGTAGCCACAGCCTATTTATACCCCAGGTCGACTTCAACATGAAGGTCCAGCTGGCCACCCAGTGCTAGATACCATAGGCAATGAAAGACATAAAGGCACTACACCAGAGTGTGTGAGTGTGTGGCTCAACTCCATCTTCCCCAGGCTGCCATTCCCTTCTTGCACCAGCACCAGCTTTCCAACACCGCCCTCTGCCAGCAGGCATGTGGCTGCCATCTCCCCTGACCCCGTGCCATCTCCTCACATACCCCCTTCTCTGAGAAGACCAGACATTATGTATGCATGTGAAAACAGCAGCCCCCTCCCAGCAGATGGGATTGGGCTTCTGAAAAGCTAAGAAACACCCAACACTAGATGAACAGAGCCCACTGAAGCAAGCTGATGTAGAGTCTGAACAGCTTCTGCAGATAAAGCCTGAATCCTGACTTTATCTTGCCTTTGCCCTCGGGGCCACCGGAAAACAGAAGTTTTGCCAAGTCTTAGGCTTCTGGGCAGTGGGAAGCTTTGAGCTGTACCCAATTCACTCTCTCCAGAGCAATGTGGCCCCCCCAGCATCCCAGAATCTCTGAGCTGCTCCCAAGTGCTGGGGTAAGGAAGGCCCCTATCCATTTGGATCCTTGACCTCCTTCTTCCAGTACCTAAGCCATGGGCAACGACCAACGACAACAGCCCATCCTCTGCTCCAGTGGGTCCATCCCCAGGTCTGTGTTCTCCAGGAAGTTCTGAGCTTGTGCTGCCCTTCACTCCCTTTGAGGTCTGCAGGCAACCCAGCCTAGGCCCAGAAGCTTTGAAAGCTCCATGCTGCTTCTCCACTCACCCTCAGTCTTTCTCCAGCTGAGGACACAGACAGTCAGCAGTCCGCGGCCTGGAAGAGACCCTGGTCCTGTTGGACCTGAACTTCCAGACCCTAGCACAGTGAGAGATGGAGTCCTGGTTTTTTGTTTGTTTTAAAACATTTATTTATTGTTATTAGAAAGGCATATCTACAGAAAAAAAGGAGAGACAGAGAAAAAGACCTTCCTTCCACTGGTTCACTCCCCAAATGGCTGTAACTACTAGAGTTAAGTCAATCTTAAGTCAGGAACCAGGAGCTTCTTCTGGGTCTCCCATGTGGGTGCAGGGTCCCAAGACTTTAGGCTGTCTTTTACTGCTTTCCCAGGCCACAAGCAGGGAACTATATGGGAAGTGGGGCAGTTGGGACACAAACTGGCACCTATATGAGATGCTAGCACTAACAGGTGGAAGACTATTAGCCTGTTGAGCCAAGGCCCATGCCAATATTTGTGATATTTTAAATTGCTGTTATTTAAGGTCCACCCACTCTACAGCACTCTGTTATAGCAGCATAGACTATCTAGAACCAGCAGGCATACGATTAAAAACTCAAGGAAAGCAATAAAAATGATGAAATCAATAAAGTGAGAGACATCCAACAGAATGATAAAAAATATCTGCGCACTACCTATCTGACTAAGGGTTAACATCAGCAACTCAAAACACTTCACACACGCACACAATAAGCAATATGGCCAAAAGGATAAAAGGCCACTTTTTATCTTTCCCCTCTTAAAAAAAGTCTTTGGCCCAGCATGATAGCCTAGTGGTTAAAGTCTTTGCCTTGCATGCCCAAGATCCCTTATGGACACTGATTTATATCCCGCCTGCTCCACTTCCATCCTGCTCCCTGCTTGTGGCCTGGGAAATCAGCTGAGGATGGCCCAAAGCCTTGGGACCCTGCACCCACATGGGGAGATCTAGAAGAAGCTCCTGGCTTTGGATCGGCTCAGCTCCAGCCGTCACGGTCACTTGGGGAGTGAAACATCGGATGAAAGATCTTCTCTGTCTCTCCTCCTTTCCAAAAAATTAAATAAGTCTTTTAAAAAGGCCAAAGACACCAATAAATAGTTGTGAAAAGAAGAAATACAGGAGCTGGCATTGTGATTAAGCCACTACCAGCAATGGCAGCAGCCCCTATGGGCACACTGGTACAATCCTGGCTGCTCCACTTCCGATCCAACTTCCTGCTAACACACACCCAGGAAACGCAGCAGAAGATGGCCCAAGTCCCTGGGCCCCTGTTCTTAGATGGGAGACCTGAATGAAGCTCCTGGCCTTGGCCCAGCACAGCCCCAGGTGTTACGGCTATCAGGGAGTAAAGCAGAAGATGAAAGACATCTCTGACTCTATGTAACTCTGCCTTTTGAATAAATAAAATAATCTAAATAAAGGAGGTACAATCTCCAGCTTCCAACTGCAGAAAATTAAAAATCATTTCTTTTAAAGCAAAATACAAATGGTGAATAAATATATTAGAAAAAAATATGCTAGGCTCACAGCCATCAGGGAAAGGGCAATCAAAGCCACAGTGAGATGTCCCCTCAGAATGGCAGTAACCCAAAGGACGGAGAGCACCACCTGCTGATGAGGAGGTAGGGAAAGGCAGACATTTCTACACCTTGGGTGGGAAGCAAATCAGCACCACCACTGTGGGAACCAATGGGGAGATGAGATTTGATGAATGTGTGTGATGAATGGCATAGACAAAACCTTATGGCTATACCACACTCATTGCTAAAAGACTCAGTGTGGTCTCCCAGCACCAGGTACAAAGCCAAGCTGTCCCTTCCTATCACCATGATCAACCTTGTACCAGAGGTTCCAGATCACGTGATACAACCAAAGGAAGAACAGACACACAGGCTGGACAGAAAGGGACAAAACTGTCCCTGTTGGCAGACACAGGTGTCCATGGAGGAAAAACCAAGAGAACCTATGAAACAGCTGCCAGTTAACTCGTGAACTCCAAAATGTCTTAAGGAACAAGGCTAACACATAAAAACAAATTGTATTTCTGTACAGAAACAACGAAACCATTGAAAGGCAAATGTTTAGGTGCCATTTAAACAGCACCGCAACTCATGAAATACTGATGTGTTAAATGTTAAAGACACAGAGTAAAACCTGTTCACACAAAATAAAAGACCTGGGGCTGGTGTCATAGCATAGGAGGTCAAGCTTCTGCATGCAGCATCAGCAATGCATTTGGGCCCTAGTTTGAGTCCAGCTGCTCCACTTCTGATGCAGCTCCTTGCTAATGCATCTAGGAAAGCATGGCAAGAAGGCCCAAGTGCTTGTGCCCCTGCACCCATGTGGGAGATCTGGAAAAACTCCAGACTACTAGCTTTAGCTTGGTCAAGCCCTGGTTGTTGGGGCCATTTGGGGAGAGAACCAGAGGGCATGAAAGAGTCTTTCTCTTTGTGTGTGTGTGTGCGTGCGCATGTGTGTGTAACTCTACTTTCAAACCAATTAACTTTAACAAAGAAAGAAAACCTAAATAGATGCAGAGTCAGCATGTTCATGCACTGTGATATAGTTTAGATGCCCACCTACCTCCCATTTCTGCCAAGCGAACTATACATGCCATACAATCACAACTGGAATAACAAGAATGAGATGGATCCAATGGAAAACTCACACCACAGATGCTCTGTGACTCCAAACATGGGCTATATTCCAATAAACTCATTTTGAGTTGAAAATGCATTTAATATATCAACCCTACCTTAGCCTACCTAACCTACCTTGGCCTAGCATACCTTAAACATGTTCAGAGCACCTACGCTCACCTGTCATTGGGTACCACCACCTCACACTAAGCCTGTTCGGTAATGTGGCATTGGATCCCTCATCTGTTTTATGGACTTCCACACTGAATGAGAAAAACAGAAGGACCACAGGGGCACCCCTCTGTCCCCCAGCAGAGTTGTGGGGCTGTGAAAAGTAGAGGATGGCTGAGGCTCAGTTTCAAGGCTTTCATGAAAGCTACAGTGACCACAACCATGGGGTACAGGACTGAGGACAGATTCACACGATGGAATTCAGAGTGCAGAAGTAGTAAACCCTCGTGGGTATGGTCTGCTGAGTACTGACGAGCGTCCCAAGCTAATTTGACAGGGAAAGGGTGGGCTTTCCAATCAATAATGCTGGGTTGCCTGGATATCCTCCCACCCCACACACATACAGAAAGGAACTCCAAGTGCAAGACACTACTGAATGGGAGAGCTAAGTGCTGCAGCTCTTCAAAGGAGACACGGACTAAACCTTCATGGCTGTGGAAGACACATTGTTTCTTAGACACTATGCTAATGACACAAATGACAAAAGAAAAGACAGTTGGACTCAGTCAAAATGTAAAATTTTTGCGCTTCAAAGGGCACCATCAAGAAAGTGAAAAGAACAGCCACTGGGCAGGAGAAAATGCTGCATTTTTGGCAAATATGAGGGTATTTCAAAAAGTCTGTGGAAAATTTTTAAAAATTGAAATGCATGTAGGGCTTCTTTTTCCTTCATAATACATCGTCCACAAACTTTCTGAAGATTCTCTTACACATAAGGGAACAGAAATGAGGAAAGAATAGTCTTTTCAAAAATGGTGCTATAACAACTAGATATCCACATGACAAAATAAAGGTCACAAAAGACACAAAATTAAGAGGCAAGCATTGTGGCATAGTGAGTTAAGCTGTTTATTGTGATGTCGGCATCCCGTACTGGAAGCCAGTTGAATCCCAGCTGTTCCACGTCAGCTCCAGCTTCCCATTAATGTGCCTGGGAAAGCAGCAGCTGATGGACTAAGCACTGAACCATTGCACCCACATGGGAGACCTGGGGGAG